GTTGTGGTGGTGGTGGTGGTGGTGGTGGTGGTGGTGGTAGCGGTAGTTATGGTGGTGGTTGTGGGGGTGGTAATGGTGGTAGTAATGAGTTTATAATAGTGTATATCGATATTTATGTTTAGTATTTATAAATTCAAATAAAATTAAGGGAGTTTCATATGATTTAAAATTTTCCTAAGTTTTAGTCTACATTTTAAGAGGCTTTTAAATTTTTAAATGATATTAATTGTGGTTATTAAACGGATTTAATTGATTATTACTTAATACATTTAATTTTAAGTGCTGAATGAGGTTATCAAAACCATCTTATTAATTCAATTATGATTATGATCTCGTGGTCTATTGGCATGGAGATAGCATTTAAATGTTTGTGAGAGAGATTGAGTTGAACTCCTTCCAAAACTGAATTAACGATTAATAATTGATTATTGCCGGTTTTTTTCTTTTTATATATATTACAAAAAGAAGACTATGTATGTTTTATCAATATCGATTTTTTATTGATTAATGGTATGCTGTCATTTAAAATTTGTTTGAATTTGATTCATTTACTAAATGAATGAGTTTAAACTCAATTCTTAGACCAAAAGAAAACAAATTAATATTTATTTTAAATAATAAATAAGATTAATTTGAAGGTATATTTAGCTTTTGTTGTGAATCTTAAATAAAAAACAAAAAAATTGGTTGTTAACATTAAATATTAAAAAAAAAAAAAAATGGGGATTAAGGTGGGTTGGGGAAAATACAAACCCATTAGGAGATGGGGAGGGTAGTACCCATGGGGAATGGGAAAAATTTATTATAGGGGAATGGGGATGGGGAATTAATATCCACCCCATTAACGCCCATTGCCATCCTTACTCACATTCTGCATCTTCTCTCTCTTCGTGCGACTTGGAGTCTAGGTGTGGACGATCTCTCTCTCTCTCTCTCTCTCTCATGGTTTTGGATTTGAATTGGTGGAGTCTTATCGTTCTTTTACATTCTATTCTTAATTTTTGATGTTTATAGCTGCTCGGACATGAGTTATGTGTGATTGGTGTCATATGAATCACTATGATTGATTTCTTTTGCTCACATATGATTTACCAATTTTTTTTTTACTTGTTTTAGCAAAATGGGTGTTATGTTATTGTAAATTTGCTTCAAGATATTACTTGTGGGTTGGTTTGCTAAAGTGATTGTTGTGATATTTTATGTTGTTCAATTGATTAAGCATAAATTTAGCTTGTGATTGATTGATTCAGGTGATTTTTATGAATGTATTGAACTTTTGAGCCCTTACCCATCTGCAATTTTCATTGTCTTGCTGTTAACTGAAATTTGAAACTAAACTTCTTATTGGAAAACCTGTAAAAATCAATTAGGTAACTGCTTATAGTTTGAAATGGTTTTTGATTTTTGTGTATGTAGCATTTTTATTTAGAAAATTGGTTAAGTTAGTTTGAATGACTAGCTAAATTAGAGAGTGATGTTGGGGCAAAATACAGAATCTGATTTTTTTTTATTTACTTTTGCTAGTAAAGTTGGAGTTTCTCTAATGACTAGTGATACATGTTCAAACCTGACCGGCGGTCTCATCATAACCAACACTGAAACCATTCGATCATTCCTCATCACAGCCTCAAACGACCCTCTTCTGTCCCTAGACCTCCGGAAAACTGCTTCTGACCTCTCTGTCCAACCATCCGTGCCTTACAAATCTCTCCGATCAGTCTGGTTTGCTTCCCTGCCTTCTACCCGACCTGACCTTCTATGCCTATTCTCCGGATCTGATTTCGTCTTCACCAGCCCCAAACCCAGAGAAAAGGTCAGAAAAAAGTTTTCTATGGCCCCTCCTTTCGTTTCCTGAGAAAATTATTTGGATTCTCTGAAATTTATGTGTATGCTTTTAATTTGGTTTGTGGATTTTGTGGAACCTCTTTAGAGTGAGGAATTGAAGGCAAGACTGAGGAAGCTCGAGGAAGTAGCGGAGAGGAAAGCATATCAGGAGCTTGTGAAAGATATTACGCCAAGGAAGGAGACAGATGAACCATTCTCATCTTACAAAGATCAACTAGGTTTTGGTGAGGACTTATTTTATTTTTTATTTTTATCATTATTAGTTCTGTTGTTTATAATCCTATTAAGTGCTTTTTTGATCTTGAACATGGAATATATAATAGTGGCTGTGTTTTTTACAATTGAGATTCGGGGTATTAATATTATTATATTTCATAATTTTTATTGTACACATACATACATGATATTTATGCACACATATCATCAATCCTATTATTTTAAGAATTTTTCGTATCAATGCATTTGTATCCGTATCCATACTTCATAGTGTACGCGCCATTGATAGACCTATTTCCCTGGGATGTTGGCTTACTCTTCATTATCTAACAAAAATTGTTTTTGGACCTTCTTGGGCTGGGATGATGTTGATAGTTTCTTATTGCCTTTGGATTGCGACTTACTGCAATATAGGAAAAAGGTGAACGGAGTTTTTGAATCATGATGGTTCATTAGGAATCAATAAACTGGGGAAAACATCTGGAGTTTGTGTGACATAGAGGATTATTTGGTGAGCGTGACAGATCAAACGATATTTTTAGGATCTCTAGAATTCTGTTAATGTTATCTTGGATATTTAGAATTGTGACCATTATCTTTATTTTTCGTTTTTTAGTGGGAACTTGGGCTTTTGTATTCTTGGGATTGTGATTGTAATAGTAACTAAACACATTCAATATTAACAGTTCATATTAGATGCAGCACTTGACAATTTTTACTTCACAGGTTACTTGATATCTTCTTGAATCTAAATAAATTGAGATTTTTGGTATCTGCATTTTTTAATCCCTTATTAGTTTTTGCATTTTTGAGTTTAGTTATTGCTATGAGCTTGTGCTATCTTGACTTTCCTTATCTTCTGAGACTGCAGTTATTTTTTTTTTTACAATTGCTAATTGTAGGTGCTTGTGTCCCACAGGGCCAAAACATTATACCCAAGAGGTTGGCTACACTATGACAAGGCATGAACCTTGCCAAGGTGACCTTACGTCAGCACCCCACTCGGTGCTCACCACCACCGCTTGGCGACTATATGTTCAGTGCCATTCGCCTTGCCCTGCCCCGCCCCACCATCACTCTAGTAAAAAATGGCACGCTAACACTGTATAGCCTATCTAAGCCATAAGGAAGGCCTAGGGACCCCCTCAGGGTTGGTGCCTTGGTCATGGGATGCCTGAGCGATCCATGACCCATGAGCCTGCGTTGGATCAACATCGTGGTTAGAGTTGAGGGATCATTAAAGTTGCTATGTTCACCCATTTGGGGTAACCCCACTTTGACATGAGAGAGAGGCCTTTGCACAAGACCTAAATTGACTAAGTCATGTGATACCTCGGAAAGTGTATCATACTTACCCACTGGGGTAACTAGTAAGGTGTGTTATAGTTACTAAACATAACCCACGGGAGTGAGCTAGCCTCCATGGCCCAACTTTCCTAATAAAAGGATGTCTTCCCCTCCATTTGCAGTTAGCAAGCTTCCGCTTTAGATATAGAGCTTCTACGTACATCATAAGCTATCCTCTCGTACTGTCACTCTCTCTCTCTCTCTCTCTCTCTCTCTCTCTACTCTAAGGTTGCCTTGTGATTAAGTTTGTTGAGTTGAGTCAAGTATTGTACTCCTTGGGATTAAGGTTTGTTGAATTGAGTTGAGTATTGTTAATTTTATGCCTCTTCCCAATCTTTCAATTCAAGTTGTCGATTTCAGTTGTAATATGCCTTATCCAAAATCTGCATCTGTATGTTTTTAATTTAACATCACTCTTGCACTTTTACAGGTTTACATGTTGCACTGACAATGTTTACTGGCTATTTGGTTGGATATGCTGCATTCAGAGCACTTTTTAGCCACAGTCCTGTTATGGTACCTCCAGAGAAAGCATGCTAAGTTTTTATATATTTATTTTATTCTACTTGAAACTATTAAAAATTATTCCATTTTGCACACGAGTTTTCTTTTTCGGCCCGCCCCCACCTTTCTTTTTTTCCTATCATTCTTTGTGGTTCATTTGGTAATAGTAATACCATAATTGATGATTCTCTTATCATAATTTTCAGAATGCTGCTGGAGGCATCCTGGGTTTGGTTTGCGCTATGCTCTTAGAAACGCTTCTTTTCATAATTCGAACTTCCAATCAAGATCTTAGATCATCTTCTTCCACTTCCAAGCTAAAGAAGGATCAATAGATTTGGTGTAGAGGTTGGTGCTCTCCCTCATTCTTGTGGTTGTTAGACTTGTAAAATTTATTAAGTGATTTTTCGTTTTGATTCAGTTGAATTAAGAGGCAGTTGTCCTGTAGTCCTTCACTCTCAAAATTTGCAACAAGTCAAGTTAGATTATGTGTGGACTTTCATTTTCTATTTAATGTATGGTTTGTGATCCATAAGGAGGTTCAAAGGGTACGGTTTAGTTGTAGTGGTTGAAAAGAATTTTGAATTCCGTTGGTCGCCTTTCATGGTCTATAGACAGTTGCATAAAGAATTTCAACATAATACTACAAACACCAAAATTATGTGCAATTAACAAGAGTTCGTGAAATATCATTAGGGTGGTGTTCATCTTGGGAGGATTTAGAAATTTTGAGAATCTGAAGTCTCTTGATTTTAATTTCTTGTGATTTCACTTTTTGTTTTTGGTTCTTTTGTACTAGAGTTTTCAAACATCAACATGGTTCTTGAACTTCTGATCAACTTGAGTGATGTATATTTTATATCCTTTATGTACAACTACCTTGATAAACATAGTCACCCAACAATGAAATTATGGGTGGCAATTGTGAATTATATTTACTATATTACCCTTTTTAACTTTTTAAATAGGTTTTGAGTTACATGGGTTAATAGGGCATGCTTAATTGAATGGGTCAAATAGTGTTAAATGGGTTGGTCGACTATTTATGACACAATCTCATATAAAGGCAACCCAAACCTGCTAAGATTTGGTTTGGAAAGTGGGTTGGTTTTTAGTTTTTTTGGCTATTTTGGCTTGGGGTTAAAAAGTTTGGTTTGGGAAGAGTTTTTGCTAACATTAACAGTTTATTTTGAGTAATTATTTTGCTAATATTAACAATTTATTCTTGTAAATAGAAATTTTTGGAACCGTGAATCAAACCGCAACCAAATTGTTATTTCGGTTTAGTTCTGGTCTGGTTTTACAAGTGTAATGGTTTGGTCTGGTTTTTAAAATTACAGAACCGTTAGGATCAGTTTGGTTTTTGGATTTTTTTAGTACCGAACCAATCTAGACTGTATGCACCCCTAAGTAGCGGTAGTTATGGTAGTGTTGGTAATGAGTTTATAATAGTGTATATCGATATTTATGTTTAGTATTTATAAATTCAATTAGAATTAAGGGAGTTTCATATGATTTAAAATGTTCCTAAGTTTTAGTCTACATTTTAAGAGGCTTTTAAATTTTTAAATGATATTAATTGTGGTTATTAAACGGATTTAATTGATTATTACTTAATACATTTAATTTTAAGTGCTGAATGAGGTTATCAAAACCATCTTATTAATTCAATTATGATTATGATCTCGTGGTCTATTGGCATGGAGATAGCATTTAAATGTTTGTGAGAGAGATTGAGTTGAACTCCTTCCAAAACTGAATTAACGATTAATAATTGATTATTGCCGGTTTTTTTCTTTTTATATATATTACAAAAAGAAGACTATGTATGTTTTATCAATATCGATTTTTTATTGATTAATGGTATGCTGTCATTTAAAATTTGTTTGAATTTGATTCATTTACTAAATGAATGAGTTTAAACTCAATTCTTAGACCAAAAGAAAACAAATTAATATTTATTTTAAATAATAAATAAGATTAATTTATTTTATTTTCTATTTGTGTTTAATATTTGTATAAATTTACATATTTGAATGATGAAATTTATAATTAATATAAGTATTCTTTTATATTTTGCTCATAATTCTCTCTTAAAATCTTAATAAGTAAATTAATTTAAATTTAATTTTTTTAAATTTAAACTCGATTTGTTTATATAATCAAGTTGCCTCAAGTAGAGTGTTTTTTTAAATAAAATTTTTGTTATTGGCCTAAATTTTTTTAAACACCTTCAATTCTCTGAATTGTTAAATCAAAATTAATTTTATTATTATTTTAACAGGCTGACTCTTGATTTTGGTAAAGCCATATGCGGCTTCCTTCCTTTGTGTAATGTGTACCCCAGTGTTTTCGTAATGCAGGCACAATATGTGTGTAACATGCATATCGCTAGTCTTTTGTATCACTTTGCGTGCAAATGTGCAGAAGTTAAGGTTCCATTTTTGAGAATTGATTTTTTTTTTTCTTCCGAAAAGACATTAAAAAAAATAAATAAAAAATAAAAGTATTCAGTCCATAAATTCAAATTTAAATTTTGTTTGCTCAAAGGTCCGGATTTTGAAATATTTTGTTTAAATGGACAAATTTAAACAAAATGACCAAAAATCCCTATATACGGGGGCAGAGAGACATGGAGCTAGGGGGGTCACGTGCCCCCCCTAACTTTTAAAGTTTTTTTTTTTTTTAGGGTTGTTTGTGACTTACACGCAGTGCCTATATACACAGTAGTCCAATTTGACCCAAAAACACACTGACACACAATGGCGGAGTCAGGAATTTAATATAGAGGAGGCACCTATTAATAATAATTTTTTGAGCTAATATTAAACATTAAAAATTAATATTCATTACAAAAAGTTTTTAATTTCAAACCTTTACAATTGACCCCGACGAGTTTTCATCTTTTGAAATCTTTCCATGATAGTATCATTGTCAATGCCATCAAAAATCTCTATCTCAATGTAGACAACCAAGCTGTCATTCATCCATTCATCACCCATTCAATTCCGCAATCGATTCTTCACAATATTCATAGCTGAAAATACCCTCTCAACAGTAGCAGTTGCAACATGCAAAATTAATGCTAAAGTCAAGAGCAAATACACCAATGGATATATTTTGTCTCTTCTAGTTTCCACCATTTTCTTAGCAAGATCGGCAATTCCATTCAACCTCCACTGAAGAAAATTCTTTGGGATAAAATTCGGTAAGATGATTAACTTTTTCTTGTCAAAACTAGAGAAAGAGTTAGATGAATTCAAACATGCCACACAAAGTAACAACTCAGTGTTCGACTCAGTGGAACGAGCATTTAGTTCTTGAATTTGCATATCCAAAACAGTGTAGAATAACTCAACGCGATAGTGATGTAAGTTTATAATTTCTTGAGCATTGCGTCTTTTTCTCCCTCGAGCTACAAAAATGTCATCCATTTGGAGAACATCAATTTCATAATTTTCACAAAAAGACAAAATATCATCAAGTAAAGATGTTCACTCACTCTCCCTCATCTCTTGAAGCTGTACTTTAGAAATTTGAACTAAATTCATGGCATTAACAATATCTTGATATTTCCTTTGTAGTGCTTGCGATAACTCACTTGTAATAGTCAATATCGTTTTCATCAAATAAAGGTTGAATGCAAACTCAAATGATTGAATTGAGTCCAACAATACATTTGCTTCTGCTCGCTGTTCTGAATTTGAACCATCCTCCAAAATCATTTCAGGCACATCAATCACTGTTGAAAACATACTAGCCAAACTGACTAAAGTACCATAGTGTGAACCGCAACTTGTATCACCAGCACGTTTAAGATTAGTTTCTTGATTTAAGCCTTGCCCACTAGATAGCTCTCCAGTATTAAGTGCCTCAGCAACTGTTGCAGCTTGCTTCTCCCTAACGATATCTTGGCATTTACATGATGCTCTAACAACATTCACCACATTAGAAACCAAAATGAAAAGTAAAGCAATTTGATCATGATTCTTTGCCACAGCTACAAGTGCCAATTGCAGTTGATGAGCAAAACAATGAACATAATATGCACAAGGATTCTCTTTCAGTATAAGTGTTTTAAGACCATTGAACTCACCTTGCATATTACTAGCCCCGTCATATCCTTGACCTTGCAATCTAGAAATAATCAATCAAAGTCTGGAGAATAAATTTTCCATAGCTTGTTTGAGTAAGAGAGCATTCTTATTTGCAACATGCTCAATACCAAAAAAACGCTCAATCACTTGGCCTTTTTTTGTTAACATATCGTATTACAACTATCATTTTCTCATTGATTGATATGTCACAGGCTTCATCAATCAAAATAGAAAAAAGTGCATCACCAAGATCTCTGATAATCACATTGATAGTTTCAAATGCGGCCACATTTACAATATCTTTTCGAATATCAGGATGTCAACTTGAGATTTTGTGGAGTATTGCTCAATGCAACCACTTTGACATCTTCATTATGATCAGCAAAAAAATTGAGAAGTTCAAGAAAATTTCCTTGGTAACTTGAATTTTCATATTTATCATGCCCGCGAAACGCAAGTCCTTATTTTAGAAGAAATTTGACACAATCAACCAATACATTCAAATGGGTTTAATACTTAATTCGAGTTTGATCAGATTATTTGAAAAAAAAACCGTTTAAATATGTTGATTTGGGTTTAACAAGTCTTGAAATTTACTCGAAGATTGATTATGAGCACTGTACGGGGAGCAAATATTCCGGCAAGCCCGTACTCCTTTCTTCCGAGCTCCGTCGATGTCCGATCACCTACGAGCAAGTAACGGTGAGCTACCCGGCGGTGTGTGGCCGGAAAAACCCTCCGATGGTCAAGTTAGCACACACCTTAGGATGGATAGAGAGAAGGGAGAGAGTGTTAGAGTGTAATAAGTCCTTACAGATATGTTCGTCCTTGAGATTTAGGGGGTCCAAGGCAAATTTCAAAAATGGGACCCTTTTACATTAAAAGAAAAAAAAAATCATAGATAAAACCAGGGATTTTTGGTGAAACTCCCATTTTGGGCATTTTTATTAGAGTAAAGGATAACCTAATCAATTTTCTTTCAAAAAGCCCTTGAGTAGGAATGCCTACCTTAATAAGGACATTTTATAACTTCTATTTTTTTATGACAATATTGCCCTTCTATATATATGTATCATATATTTGAAATCTGAGTTGTGTACGATCTGCTACAATTTGCGAAATCAGGAACGAAATCAATGAAGACGATCTCCAAATTTGAAGATCTCACAGCCTAAGATCTCTCCCTTGGTCAACAATAGACGATCTCGCCGATCTCTCTTTTGGTCAACAATAGATGATCTCGCCGTCGACAATCAACACTCTCAATTAAACGAGAGTTTCATTGAGATTTGTGAGTGTTGATCGAGTTTTAGAGGTTTTTCTTCTCAATTAGGTATGTTGATTTGTTGATT